AGTCTGCAAAGGCCCTCAATCAAGGAGGCCATAGGCCTGAGCTTGTAGGACCAGAGCAGAGCAGCTGAGGGCAGGGAGGCTTGAAGGTCTCTCACTCAAGGGTTAGTCATGAATCAAAGTCGAATGAAGGACATTTAACAACTATAAAGGCACAAGTTTACAAAACAAAATTCCTAATCTGCACAGTGTGTCTGTCTGTACAGGAAAGCAAGGCATTGATTTCCAAAACAAGCAAGCAAACAAACAAGGCCCCAAACACATTGAGCAGTATATTGTTTGTTTATTTAAAAGTGTTACTGTTTTTTGTTTCTTGGAGTGTTTTGAGCTTTTCTTTGGTCATGTCCCTCCATTTTTCCTGAACATCCTACATTTTACCATGCCTTGTCCTGCTTTGTAGTTAGAACATCTGGTCGCCCTGCCCTGCCCTACATTTTAGCTTTCTGCCCAGGAGGTATTCCAAAATGTCCTCATTTTGAGTATGACTAAGAAGCCTGGATTTACATTTCTAGTGTTTTGAGTGTTTATGTGGTAAATGTCCCTCCATTTTTTTTGAATGACATCCATTTAGAGCAGGACTAAAAGCATGGATTTACATTTATATGAGTGTTTTTCACTTTTCCTGGGTCACGTTCCTCAATTTTTCCTGAATGTCCTCCATTTTACAGTTCCTTTTCCTCCTTGGCGGTTAGGACATCTGGCCACTCCAAGGAGAAGGAGGAGGCTAAACCCAGGGTGACAAGACACCTCCTTTTCCAGGTCCTGGACACCACCTTCTGTCCCTAAAGATATTCCTAAACATCCTCCATTTGAATATTGACTAAGCAACATGAATTTCTATTTCTAGAAGCGTTTGAGCTTTTCTTTGGTCACATCCTCCATTTCACCCTTCTGTCCAGGACAAATCACAAAATGTCCTCCATTTTCAGCATAGCTAAGCAGCACAAGTTTACATTTCTAGGAGTGTTTTGAGCTTTTCTTGGGTCACATCCTCCATTTGGAGCAGGACTGAGAAACCTGGATTGCTTTTAGCTTTTCTTTGGTCACGTCCTCCATTTGGAGCAGGACTAAGAAGACTGGATTTACATTTCTAGGAGTGTTTTGAGCTTTTTCTTGGGTCATGTCCTCCATTTCAATCTTCTGTGTAGGATGAACTCCAAAATATCCCCCATTTTCAGCATGACTAAGAATCCTAGATTTACATTTCTAGGAGTGCTATTAGCTTTCCTTTGGTCATGTCCTCCATTTGGGACAGGACTCTTGGGTCATGTCCTCCATTTCTGCCTTCTGTCTAGGATGTATTCCCCACTTGCAGCATGACTAAGAAGCCTGGATTTACATTTCTAGGAGTGCTTTTAGCTTTCCTTTGGTCATGTCCTCCATTTCAACCTTCTGTCCAGGAGGAATTCCAAAAAGCCCTCCATTTTCAGCATGACTACAGGCCTAAGCAGACTGCCAGAAATAGTGCACATTAAATTGAGGCACTGCCCTGGCTCAGTGCTAGGGAGTCATGAGAATTGTATTTTTTTCTGAGACATTGAGCCTTCTCTGTCAGAGAGCTCTGGTGCCACAATAAATTACAGTTCCCATGATTCCCTAGCACTGAGCCAGGGCAGTGCCTCAATTTAATGTGCACTATTTCTGGCAGTCTGCTTAGGCCCTACGAAGCCTGGATTTACATTTCTAGGAGTGCTTTTAGCTTTTCTTTAGTCATGTCCTCCATTTCAGCCTTCTGTCTAGGATGAATTCCAAAATATCCTCCATTTCCAGTATGACTAAGAAGCCTGGATTTACATTTCTAGGAGTGCTTTTAGATTTTCTTTGGTCATGTCCTCCATTTGGAGCAGGACTAAGAAGCCTGGATTTTCATTTCTGGGGGTGTTTTTGGTTTCCCTTTGGTCATCTCCTCCATTTCAGCCAGGAAGAATTCCAAAAAGCCCTCCATTTGGAGCAGGACTATGGACCTTATCACACGGGGTCTTAAGCAGACCTAATCCAAAGGGTATCCGTAGCTAATACATATTATTTCC